ATTCTGAGCCATTGGACTTTTATAATTATAGTCTAATTACTGTATTATCATTTGTGCTGCTTTGAGGTGAGCCTGTAAAAAATTCAGTCTGTTCCTTTTGCTGACCCATAGAACGGATCATAGCTACAGGGTGGTTTACTTATAGCATTTTCTCATTTGTCTTTTGTGTTAAAAACCTTAGTGGGAAATGTGGGGTTTTGTGCACCATTTAGAATGATACTCAGTTTAAATGCCTCAAAGCATGATAGGGAGCATGACTGGCAGGTGGGGACAGATAAGTCCGCAGTGTTGTGCCTAGCTAGATCACGAAATTCCCACTTAAATGTCAATGTGAATACTTTTACTATGAAGTGCAAGATTATCCCAAACTTTGGACAATTTAAAAAAGTCCACGATGCTCTTTGCTCTGCCTCTTTCTCTGCCAGCCTTGCGTTAGACTCAGAGTAGGTGTGTCCAGATGGTGAGCTTGAGTATTGCCCAGAAGAAGAAAGATCTTTTTAAAGATTTGGCCGTGGTGAACTCCTGGGATTCCCAGCCTGTGCCTCCGCTGTGCAGAGCCAGCCCCGGATCCTCCCTGGCGGCGTCCGTCTCTTCCAGGCTGTCTCCATTTGTGGTCAGAACTCCCTGCTGTTCCCAGCCAGCCCGGGCTGCAAGTGTTTTCACACGGCCCCAGTTCTGGTGATACAAAGGGCACACAGTGCCAGCCATAACACTGAGTAATGCCAGGAGGTGCCTTCTAGAACAAACAATGTGGGTGAGCTCCGCAGAGAGGGAATACCTCTGGCTTGACATTTAAATTACTGAATTATTCAAATGAATGTCAATTAGGTGGAGTAGACTTGCTGCCTTCTGCCAGGGCACTTCCTGGTTATTTGCACAGGCAAGTATAAACTACTTCGCATCAGACGTGGTGCTTCCTGTCTGTACTGTTGAAAATCAGCCACAGAACGTGATTATTTGTTCCTTTGGTGTTCCTGGATGTGTGCTGTATTTCTGTCGCAGTCTGAGCAGTTAGGAGTCCACACACCCTTACCTGTGACCCTGCAAGGGGTTTTGTGATCATTCTGGAGCCCGACCTCCCACTCCACACCTATCCGATATTAAATATCACAGGCCTACACAGGTTATGCTTATTCCCAAATACGACAAGACTGAAAAAGTGAGTCATGGGCATTTTGGGGCCTGCTGTGGTTTTTAGAATTGTGGATATTAAGATCTGAGAATGCTGCTACCTTGCTTTTAACCTTCTCTGTTAACTTAGTAATCCTGGCTCAGAAAATCCTTTTTGATAGCTCTTCAAATTCCTCTATTCTGTCAGATGAAATGGCATTTAACTAATAGGTGTGTATGTGCATGTGCGTGCACGTGCAGTCATTCTTACATTCTTGTGAACTTAGGGTCTTCATTTATTAATATATTTGAGTATATATAAAAATAATACATGAAGGGCTCTGCTAATTAGTTATATGGGAATATATAAGTTAAGAAGATTAAATGAGGAGCAAAATAGGAAAGAGAAGTTGGGGAAGGTTTTGTACTTTGCCATTAGCTAACTGTTGGACTCAGCTCACGGTTCCTCCATATATCAGAAGTTGAGTTAATTATTATGTATCCTTAACAACTGCCTTTCTTTGCCTTTTCTTTTTCCTGATTGGGGGGGTAGGATATGAAAACCCTGGTTTTAGACATCTTACTGTAAAGAAGCAACAACTTAAAAACCCTGGTTGTTTATATGCAACTATAGGAAATGTATAAGGAATTCAAGGAGCGTATTTAATAAATGAGTTAATTCCTTACACTTAGTTCATGACCCCACAGGATTAAGATCTGATTAAGGTCTATACCACTTTATAACTGGGTTCACTGTAGAGTTGGGTATAGTGAGTTTTATTTTACTAAAGATGGTGTTTACTCGAGACTGCTCACTTCTGGCAAAATTCTTTAGGTTTTAGTCCAGACATCTGTCGGACTGTGCACATCCTGTCAAAAACTGGAGACCTTGGAAAGGCAGTATCCCTTCTTGCATCTGTGGACTTAGCATTTAGTTTGAGCTGGAAATTTAAAAACAGAGTTCATTTCGAGAGCACGTTAGAGGAATTATTGTTTTTGTTATTTTAGCTTTAAAAAACTTGACATTTTTTTATTAGAACCACAAAGTGCCATTGATTCTTTGGGTCCCCAGACTGTCTGTTTCTATAGGATCAATAACAAGTGTTCCTAGTGGACCATAGGTGCAGCGAATTGAGTAAATCATACTGCTCAATCTATTTTCAGTCTGTGAACAGCTACTCTCCTATTTTATTTTCATTTTGTCCCTTTATCCCAACACTGACCCCTCATCCCCAACACAGGGTCAATAGGCACATACTCTTTACTATGTTAGGTATATATCCTTGGATATCTGTACTCTTCTAAAAATATTCAGGGCTTTAAAATATATGTTTACGTTTCAAATTTATGTAGGTTGCATTATTTGACAGTTTTGAACATATAGTCTTTTCAATTCCCTGCTGTATGTCACAGACGAATCAGTCTGACACCATTAATTCTCCCCCTCACCCCACCCATCTATTTCCCTCCAAAGAATCATCACCTGTTGGCAGCATAGTTGGCAGCCCTCAGCCCCGCTTTGTGCCATTCAAGAGTGGCAAACATGTCTAGACTCCCTAGAAATATTATCTTTCAACTCTCTTTTGGCAAGTGTAAACTTTTTGCTGGATTATGTCAACAGATATGTATGTTTCTCATCCTCATAGAAAATAGATTGGTGCTGGAATTTCTTTTGCATTTCTCTAGGCAGGGAAAATAAAAGCTATCTCTTCACTCATTACAATTTTTTTGCTCATTAAAAATGTCTGAGGGCTCTTGATTCTCAGGGGTGAGACTGGTGACATACATAGACTGTCAGCGGCTATTTTGGATTTTCTGCTTTCAGGCATGTCTTTGCTCTTGGATGAGCCCCTTGTGGTTTTCAAAAGAACTAGCAAGTCAATTATAAATAGAAGGCTTGTGTCTGTGTGTCTGCGTGCACTTACTCTGTGGGACGAGGCACCCACATTACAGTGGGCAGTGAACTATTTTTCCACTTCTTTGAAGAGGGAGGAAGAAAGATTAAGAACGCATTTCTCTTTTTGAGATAACCTACATCTCTACACACACCCACACAAATCTGTGTAAATGAGCTTGACATTTTCAAAGACCTTACCTTAAGGTCTTTCTCTGGAAGGCACAGCCACCCGACCTGTTATTTTAAGAAAGAGGCAGTTATCTTAGAGACCCACTACCTACAGGGATTAGAAGGCAGGGTTCAGGGATTAGAAGGAAGCCTCAACATGCCTTGGACCTTTGGAGGGAGCTCTGAGAGCTAAATTTCCTTATGTGAACAGTCTTTGGTGGAAATGATGGCCTTGGCCAACTAATCAGTGGCCTCCAGGAACTGGCTGTTTACATTCTATCTTCACTTTCCTTACCCACTAGAGGAAACTGTTGGGACCAGCAAGTCTGAACTATTCATTCCAACAAGGGAGGGGAAAAAGAGCGATATGAAAAATGAAACTGTAAATAATTGTTTTCAGAAAGAGACAATTAAGAGGTGTGATTAGATGTGCTTCCCTGATGATAAGTTTCTGTCCCTGTTTCCATCACGTCTGGGACTCACCAGGGGTGGGCCCTTCCTTTGGTCCTACCTGTTAACTTATTCTTCCAGCCTTGTTTATGTTTCCTTTGTCTCCTTTGCCCTCAATCTCAATATTTAGTGCCAACTTTTTTTCTGCCAGTTGAAAATTCTTAAATAGCTATTAATTCCCATTATGATCAATGTAAAAACTTCAGTGTTGCCACTATTGAAAAGTTAGTCTAGGAGTCTAGCTGGAAATATTGATAATATGGATTTGTAATTGTAGACTATGCGTCCTTGCATATTCTTCTTATATACTACAAGTTGAGCATCAGAAATCAGTACTCCCAAATCCGAGACTTACTGAGACATTATGCTCAAAGGAGATGCTCATTGGAGCATTTCGGATTTTTGGATTTGGGATGCTCAACTGGTATAAATGCAAATATTCCAAAATAAAAAAAAAATTCCAAAATCTGAAATGTTTCTGCTCCCAAGTATTTCAGATGAGGGATACTCAACCTATAGTATATTTCCTAAACAATCAGGTAACTGCCGGGATGTTGGCGTTCCTTGTTTTACTAGTTGATGGAGATTTGTATGGCGCTAGCAGGAACTGGTATTAACAGCTACCATATATGTAGGAGCCATTTTGTGTATAAAATAAAGGTGTTGAACATTATGTTTCAGTAAAACATTTCATTTTGATGCAAGAATTGGGATATGAGTGGATGTGGTGGCTCATGTCTATAATCCCAGTACTTTGGGTGGCTGAGGCAGGAGGATTGCTTCAGGCCAGGAGTTTGAGGCCAGCCCGGGCAACATAGCAAGATACCATCTCTACAAAAAAATTAAAAATTTAGCCAGACATGGTGGCATTCTCCTGTAGTCCCAGCTACTCAGGGGACTGAAGTGGGAGAATGACATGAGCCCAGAAGTTTGAGGTTATGGCAAGCTGTGATCATACCATTGCACTCTAGTCTGGGTATCAGAGCGAGACCCTGTCTCTAAATAAATAAATAAATAACTTAAAAAAAATAATTGGAATATGAGTGTGAACCCATTTAGCTGAAGGTAATATGAAAACCATCATGCAAGAAGCTTATTTTCAAAAGTCTATGGACAGATGACAACCAGTCTTTGGTCTACTATGATCTAAAAGCATGCCCAGCTTATATAAATGCATTCCTATGTTGAGAGGCGATTATTATTTGGTGGTTGGTCAAGTGACAAGGTCACAGAATGTGGACATCATGGCCAGTGGTGATGCTGAGCTTGACTTTCTATTTGGTGAAGGTATTTGGAATGGTCGTTCTCCCAATGGGGGCAAAACAGTGTACAGTGATTGTTTTTTTTTTTTTTTTCCTTCGTCTCTCCTTTACAGATGAGAAGCCCAAGGTCAACCCCAAACTTTACATGTGTGTGTGTGAAGGCCTCTCCTGCGGTAGCGAGGAACACTGTGAAGGCCAGCAGTGCTTCTCCTCGCTGAGCATCAACGATGGCATCCAGGTCTACCAGAAAGGCTGCTTCCAGGTCTATGAACAGGGGAAGATGACTTGTAAGACCCCACCATCCCCTGGCCAAGCCGTGGAGTGCTGCCAAGGGGACTGGTGTAACAAGAACATCACAGCACAGCTGCCCACTAAAGGTTCCCATGGACTTTTTCTATTTCTAGATCAAGGAGTTTTGTTAGTATGGTCCCGAGTTTGCATATTGTCCTGTGGTTAAAGATCTAAGTAGCCATAAGGCTTTTTCCTCCTATTCTTTGAGCCAGAGGTGATGAGCAACCAGAAGGTAGCTGTAGGTGAAGAAGAGAGAGGCATGGCCTTTGGGCATCTAAAAGGAGGATGGGCATTTTGGGGAATGTGGACAAGGTGGCTTCTACCTTGGGGATGGGTTGGCTGGTCAATTCTCTTTTGGTCCCTGCAAACCCTCGGTACCCTGCTTTATGAGGAAGGAGACAGGAAGGCTTGCTAACCTCTTCTCCCATATCTGACGCCCAGTGACCCGCCACTGAAACTTGATGCAGGATGAGGTTTCCGTGAACCCTGTGGTTTATATGGAATCTTCTCTCTACTGTATTCAATACGGATTCCATATCCTACGGAAATCAATCCTCCTCTGAAACTGTTTCCCTATAAAATGCAGTCTCCAAAGTCCCTGCAAATATTGATGCAGACTCACCCCAAGCCAAGTTTATTTTCTTTATGTAGTACATTTTTAATGGATATAATCATTTAATTTTATACTCACAAAAGAAGAAACAACCCTCCAAAATGGAGTAGGAAAGTCTACTAGGAGGATACACTACCAGAAATGTCAGCCAACAAGGGAAGGGACAGAAAAATGGAAACAGCCGATACAAGATCAGGTTGTAGCAATTTTGAAGTTACAGAGATGACCTTAAGGCGTATTGAAAAGGTTAAATTCTGATAAGCAAATAGGGCGAATAATAAAAGAAAGCTCTAAAAAGAGAGATACAGTATGTAAATACTTAAAACTAAAGGAGTCTTTATTGGAATAAACTTTACTCTTTAACTTTGTGTGACTTAAATTGTTATTAATCGAGTGGGGGGATGTGAAGAAATGTCTGCATTCATACAGAAGTTATCCATATCAACAGTATGAAGTTCCTGGTCTGCACAAAACTCTGCTGGACCCTGAGTTTTCATAGATTTTCTCTATTTAAGGAATTTCTACTTTAATTAGGGAGGTCACAATATTTGTAACTTAATATTGTATTTCATTTAGTTTTACACTTTATCATACAAAAGACATGCCCCATGGAGTATCATATGTGCTAAGTCATTAATTATTTGGGCTTGGAAAGTTAAAGAAAATGTAAAGGCTTGAGATTGGATTGCTGAATGGACTAGGAACATGGGAACGAGGAAGGCATATGTAGGGAAGAACAGGACCTAGTGACATAATGTCATGACGGGGTCTGGAATCCAGAGATGGTGATTGTTTTGTGACTCTTTACTTATGGACCTTCACTGTCCAGCTGAGAAATTTGGATTTAACTTGCTTGGCAAGTAGAAAACCTTTGTGAATATTTGATCACCTGATAATGTGAAGTGTTTTGAGCGAATGCACCAACGTTAGAATGGGTAATGTAGTAATGCCTGAACAAGGGAGTGAATCAGGGAATGAATGGTTGAGTAAACAAGTAAATGAACAGATGAATGAATAGTTTTTCCTAGGTAGAAATCATGATGTCAAAAGATCAGTGAGAATTCAGCAATAGACATCCAAGATATATGGAAGAGAGAGACCACAGATTGTATAATTTGGTTTTAATTCAGTACTTTCTCATAGGGATATTACAGCCTAGTGTCTGTCTGTAAGGGCTTGATGATGAAACAAAACAAATCCAAGTTGGTAAGAGTAATATCAAAGATTTGTGCAGTACTTTGTATTTTAAAAGTACTTTCATATACATGTATTAATACAGTTGATTCTCAGTGGAATGTTTTTCAACTTCCAGTTGTATCTAATTGAATGATGGTTAGAATGCCTGGGCCATTGGCCAGGTATTAGGAAGTATTTTAGTTTTAATTCTTTGTGACATGCAAGACTGTGTGGTCAGGATCCAGGAGCTACTTATTAGGATATTATTGGTTATGCTGAATTATAAGTAAACAGTGGTGCTTACAGCTAATTCTCCCTCTTTTCCCCATCTCCAGGGAAATCCTTTCCTGGAACACAGAACTTCCACCTGGAGGTCGGCCTCATTATTCTCTCGGTAGTGTTTGCAGTATGCCTTCTAGCCTGCCTACTGGGAGTTGCTCTTCGAAAATTTAAAAGGCGCAACCAGGAACGCCTCAATCCCCGAGACGTGGAGTACGGCACCATCGAAGGGCTCATCACCACCAATGTTGGAGACAGCACTTTAGCAGTGAGTTTGACCCCACAGGCAATCCCAAGCGTAATGAAGATGACTCAAGATGCATGAAACGCTAACCAGTAAGGGGTGACTGGATAGGGTACCCACATGCTAATTGGTCATGTATGTGCTATGCAAACATATACTGGCACCTATTTAGTCCACCCTACATTAGAACATCCACTCTAGACAGACCTATAAATAAAGGAGGGGATTTATTTTAGGAGATTCTTAGTAGTTACTTTTCTTTCTGAGTAAGGAAAAAGGACAGAGGGAGAATGGAGGACAGTGTCATTTTTTGGAGGGCTTGGAGTTTGTAGTCTTCAGTTCACTCTATTTTTAGTAAAGAAAGTGTTGTGGTTTTTTTTAAGGACCTTTTGCTTAATATTAAAAATCAATTTCCCTTCTAGATTATTTCAATACCTTGTAATTTAAGACTTTAAAACTTGACATCCAAGAAAGTGGCTATTACATTTTTTGTGCTCCTGTGCTGCCCCCTTGTGGAGTGCAGTCGTGTGGTGAAACCAGTGCCGTCCAATAGAAACAGGGGCACCACGTATGTAATTTTAAATTTCAAGTAGCCACCTTAAAGAAAGTAAAAGTAAAAACAAAAACTAGGAAAGCTAAAAAAAAAAAGAGTTGAAATAAATTTTAACAATATATTTTACCCAACATACACAATTTTTATCGTTTTAACATAAAATCAATACAAAGTTTTTAGTGAGATATTTTACATTATTTTTTAAACTAAGTATTCCAAATCTTTTGTGTATTTTACAGTTGCAGCATGTATCAGTTCAGACTAGCCACAGTTTACTTGCTAAGAGGCAGCATTTGACTGCTCACTACCTTATTGAACAGCACAGGGTTAGAAACCATTGTATTTATACATTTTAAAATGACTCTTTTGCATATTTTGAAATGATGAAATCCCATTACAAAGCGACTGTCTTATTTGCGTTTTAAGGTTGTTTGTCAGGCATTAATTTTAAAGAACCTTGAAACTTTAAGTGGGAAAAGGATATCACTTGCCATAAATAGAAGTTACCATAAGATGCAAAAGAAAAAAGTAGTAACATTCCACACGGGTGCTATGCTGGGTCAAATGCTTACTCTGAAAGAATTTTGACATCTGTGGGTGTTAGAGAGATGTGAGAGACATGTCAATACCAAATCAAGATTCTCTCCTTGTCACAATCCAATGAATTGAAAGACAATCAAGGTAATAACTTTCTAATGTGACTCAATATTATTCAATGCCATGCCTGTGTATTATCCCAAATCATCTTGGAGTAAGTCATGTTCTGCTAGATGACAAGCTTAAAAGTGCCTGGTAGTTCTGCAGTTACACTTGCCCAAAGCTTCCTTTTTGCTGGAGAAGACTTCCCCTCACCAGTGGCCACCTTGGTAGCACAGGTGCTATCCCTGGACTACTGCAGGACCCACCCTTGGCAAGTTGTCAAAATATTGGGGTGGTGGCGGACACAGGCTGGAAAACATCCCATCCTGCTGCCTGCCCCATCACTGGGCCACCAGTCTAGGGTACTTGTAGCTCATGTAGCTTCCTTTCCCTCCTTTAAAAATGGAGGTACAGTGGCACTGGAGAAAGAGGGTACATACAGTACAGTCTAAGGACATTCCATTTTGAAAAGTAGAGAAATGCAGTTTTTTTTCTTTAGAAATATACTTAGAAGTCTATTTCAAGCTTTGAGGAAAATTAAATTAGTTTATTGAGTTAGTAGCAAGAAGATGTGAGGATGAATCCTGACAAAGCTTCAGCAAAGCAAGATTCTAAAATAGACTAGTTAGAACTTCGTTCCTCGGAGCTGCTAACATAGCTAATTACCCAGGGCAATAATAGGAATATCTAGTGTAAATTGCCATTTATAGAGCTTTTAGAATGTTGAAAGAGGACTGGGGTGTATGCCAAAACAGTCTTCTGATCTCAACTGTGTCAGATGACAGTATATCACGATATAATAACACAGCAGAGAACGCTGTTGAAAACAAGTTGTCATTACTGGTCTACATGCCTGCTTATTTCAGTGGTATGCATATTTATATGATTCAACAAAGCATACCCTTACTAAACCACTGGCCTATGTTGAAAAAGAAGCCTTGGGATCTGGGAGGTAAGGTTGATGTTTATTAGTCTTTGGTTCATTTTTTTACCCCCTTGAATCCATGAACTGGGTTGAGAAGCAGGATCCATACACTATGGAAAAAAAAACAAAACACAGCACATTAGTTTAATTGTCAGAATTATTCTACCAAAAAAATATTGAACGAATAAAGAGAAAAAAGAACCGCAAGAGAGAAAATGGTTAGGAGATGTGAAACTCTACTTCATCTGCACTCATTTTCTTGTTGATTATCCCTTTTGTGGTTTGTAAGGGTTCTAAATTTCTTCCGTTGGATGTTCAGCTTTTGGTAATTTTGTCGATCAACAGTACTTCACAGTAGTGCTTAGAGGAAGTGCAAGAATATGAAATTCACAAAAATCAATGTTTTGCTTTAATAGACCAGCTAAAATGTTTTGGAAAGGATGAGATTTGGGGAATCCAACATTACTGCAGTCCTACCTCTGTCATCATGGGCCCAACATTGTTTATTACAGATAGCCCATACCTGATGCCAAAAGACTTCTGCTTCTTGGCTTATGCTGAGAGTAAGAAGGAAAACTTTATGAATGAACTAACTGGGAATCTTTTTGCCAACATAATTCATTTGTAGAAGTTGATTTGGGATACTGGTTTGATATTTTTAATGGACATTTTATTTGTTTTCTTCTCTGATTTATGAGCGATCCATATCAAGAAATAACAAGTAGGTGTTGTTAATTTAGCCACCCTTTTGTTCCTCGTTCACCAAAAAGGAGACCTCCCTGCAGGGAGCCCATCCCTGTCCGAGTGTACCAATTTAATGTCTATGTGGTTATTGGGGTCTTTTCATTACCAACAACATTAGAGTTGTTTGTTCCTTATTCCTAATTTGTTTGTTCCTAATTAGAGTTCCTTAGTTGGTATGGCAACTAAAGTGAATCATTTAATAGATATTTAGTGAGCATAGCAGAATATGGTAAATTATACCCAGCATTGGAGCTGAAAAGAACCCCCCCTCCTCTTCATGTTCCACCTGCTATTCTTTCTACTGCTTCCCTTGTGCTCAGCCATGCTTCTTGGACTTTCCAATTTGCATCTTAAACTTTGCTCTGTCTGCTCAGCTTGTTTCATTATGTATTTCATTCTAAAACTCTGGGTACAAGAAAAGCAATCTTATCCCTCAGGAAAGGGCTATATTAGGGAAAGGGCTGGTTTCTAGTTTTTCTAAGAAATAAAACCAGTCTTTTTCCCCGTGGAGCTTTCCATTGACACTAACGGACCACGTATCCAGGATTGCTACCCTCCATGTGAGTTACAATAGCATGCAGGCTAACACCCCAAACTGGGAGCTACTGCTCAATCGTTTCTTTTTCTCCTTTTCTTAAACCACAGGATTTATTGGATCATTCGTGTACGTCAGGAAGTGGCTCTGGTCTTCCTTTTCTGGTGCAAAGAACAGTGGCTCGCCAGATTACTCTCTTGGAGTGTGTTGGTAATTGTTCTTCCCCTTCCTTTGTGGGTATTATACAATGTTAGTTGTGATCTTAGAAGGAGGATGGAACTTGGAAAATCTCCTTTTTGTTGCCTATTGCTTTTTTTAAAAAACTTATAAGTTGTGAGGGAGCCGTGTGGTCTCTATGCTCTGTGACTCATATTTGAGCACCTGAACTTGTCGAAGCTCTCATCTAAGGAGTCTATCACTAATTAGTACAGAGAGGGACTAGTCGAAAGCTTTCAGTTGCAAGTGTACCCTTTTAGGATGATGGGAATGCTTGAAAAATGAATTGATATGATTGCTTCTTATTATAGCTGTTAATGACCTAAGGTAAGTAGGCTTTGGGACAATGAAGTTGTTTATTAAAATTCTCAAATCCTTCTCACTCTTCCCTTCCCTTTAAAAATAATTAATGAAGCCAACATTAGTAAAGGTACCTTTATAACTCCTTTATTTAAACAGGAGCTACCTACGTTTCTCTATGACCTGTCATATTTTTGCCATATATGAACATATGTATATGTAGAGATAATCATGATATGTATATGATTTGTGTCCCTTGTCAGTTTTAAGCTCACATACATCTCATGAACACATTATAAGCATCTTAAAAGATTAGGTGTTATAATAGTCCACTGAATGATAGTTTTACCATAACTACTGCAGACATTGCTTCTTTCTTTTGAGTTCTCAGAATAAATTCCCAGGAATGAGGAGTTCCTGGGTCAAAATTTGTGAATTTTTAATGGCTTGTTTGATATACTACTGCTGAATTGCTCTCCAGGAAGATAGTGTAAAGTTGCAGTTTTGAAAGTCCTGATCTTTATTAGTTTTACTTTTATGTGACAAGTATTTGCAAAGTCCCATGATAGTTTCTGCTAATTTCTCCTTCAGATAGCACGCAGGGATGGCTGCAGTAGCCATAATGCGTTGGCTGTATTTCCACACTCTCCTCCTGGTGCTCATGGATTTTTTGGGCTGAGCTTTACACGATGTCTTTTGCTTTTAGGAGGTGACAAGCCATCATAACCTAATTCCACCTCTTGGCTGTTATCCTCCAAGTTTTCTTCTTGTTTTCATGGAAAGAGGGACACCCCCAAACTCGGTAGTAGAAAGGGGAACTGGCGGAGGTAGGACAAGCAGCTGCCGGAAGGCACACAAGCAACCAGCAGGGGCTTGTTGCCTCTCCTCTAGGTCTGGGGCTACTGCCACCGTGACTGTTTCCCTCCTTCTTGCTTCTCCTCCACAGCAGATTGTGAATAGAGAAAATAAAGTTGGAAAAGCCTCAAATGTGCTCATTCTGTACAACCATCCTATCGTATCAACCATAATAGTGTCCTGTTTGATTATGAACGACGGTATTTGGGTAGCGGCAGGAAGGTCGAGAGGGGTACATCCAGCTTCCCCTTTCCTGCCCTCTCCTCCTTCCCCTTCCCCCCTCCCCTTCCCTCCCACACCACTCACCATTCACAAAGCAGTGCGCTGTCACAAGACCAGTCCTGTAGATTTCCTTCAGCATTTTTTGGAATAACATAACTACAGTTATTACATTTTGTTGAGTTGGCACTAAGGACTTTAATAAAGTCAATGCCTTTTCAGGAGCTTGTGGTTAGTGCGTTTATGTGGTGCAGGTTCAAATAAAAATCTATGTGATCAACTGCATGGATAGCATGTTATCACTTTTGGTTGAGAAACATGGGGAGTTGGACTAGGTGAGTGATATCCAGATGATGATCAGTGAAAACACAAATTTCAGGTGCTTTAGAGATCTTCGTGCGGCTCCCTGGCCAGGCTTTTGGGAAGCTCTTTTGTTTTAGTGGCTTCTGCGTAATATTGCATTTGCAAAAAAGCATTTGAAAGCCATTGGAAAAGATTTCATTTATAATTTGATTTATCTGCCTTGCCATCCATCCATCTTCCACTTTCTTTCTTTCTTTCTTTTTTTTTTTTAAAAAAGGATTTGTGGTAACTTTATGTCCATAGTTCCCTGGGATACTTTTCTCTCTTTCATAATGAGAAAATGAGGACAATGGGAAAATAAAGATGCAAAATGGAACCAAAGACAGGAAAAGATTACCATATTATTTTTCTAGTAGTTGGCTTTGTAGTGTCTTATCAGTAGCCCTCATCTTGAGCTACCAATGCTGGACAAGTGCTATGATTATTAAAAAGAATCCTGCCTTAAGTAGTATTCGTGTGACTCGACGGTGGCCCACAAGGAGCACTTACTGGCCACATTTAACATCCTTTTGGATTAGTCATTGGTATTTATTTAATCGGGACATTGTTTCTTGTCAGGGAATCTAGATTTAGTGGTTTTGATTATGTTTCCGGTGTGTCGCATGTACAGACAGACCCGCTTCCCTCTCCGTGTTTGCATTTGCACTGGCTCAGTGTTCCAGCAAAGAGCTGTGTTCCTGTGTGTGCAGGTGGTGCCGCAGCTGCTCGTTAGGAGCTGCGTGATCCCAGCAGCCACTTGCCTGGGTAGAAAGCCCCACTGCCCTGCAAGTTGTATCTCCTGCTGCACTGTTATCTCCGCTGATTATACCCCTTCTTGATGCCCTTAGTCTCATGATAATTACCTCCTCCTCCCAGCCTCCCTGATCATCCCTACCTATAATTAAAGAAAAGAATGGAAGAGGGAGGATGCAGTTGACAAGCTGACAAGCGTGTTGACGCTGCACAAAGAGGCCATGCACCAAACAGATCAGATCACAAGTAAAGGCACCATGTTTCTCAAAACGTGGTGGACTTTTAATTGTAGCCCCTTTGTGGCATCACAGAGCCTGTCTGACAAAGACCCATGACCAATGTCAGAAATCAGAACTGCTCTGGGATTATGTGTTTAAGACTTTGCAAATCCTCTTTTGAACCATGTCTTCTGCCAAGAAATCCTTTAGGGATGGCAGTGGCTGCTTGTCTGTCTCCTACACTGCATTGTGTTTTGTTTTTGTTTTTTAATCCTCAGAACTCACATCTTAAACTTAATCGTCTCCTTTGTGGGAAAAAAAATACATATGTAAATTCACAAATGTGGACAGTTTAGGAAATGCCCATGTTGATCCCGTATGAAGGGAAGGAGATGGTGACGCTGTTCAATTGAATGACATACTTTTTTTGGCTTTCAGCACCAAATTGATGTCTGATCAGTACCATTTTCTAAATTTTACCTTCGTGTGTTTTTAAAAGTCATATACATTTTATGCCTTTCAATGGAGGAATTTAAATGTAAACAGAATAATTAGTAGCTAATTATACGATGCAGATACAGAAGGTGGTTTGATTTGTTGTCACACTGGGTGGGATAGGAGGGGCAGTTTCCACCTTATTTTTGTATATCTTTACAGGCAAAAAGTTGTGATATTTATATCTCCGAACTGAGTTTCTCCAGTAAGCAATGGGAGGGATTTAGAGTTGCAGTCACTAAGTTTATTGGCGGGCTGGCTGCTTCTTTATGTGCCTAGTGTTCAGTGTCACCTGTGCTTTGCTCTCCACAGGGAAAGGCAGGTATGGTGAGGTGTGGAGAGGCAGTTGGCAAGGAGAAAATGTTGCCGTGAAGATCTTCTCCTCCCGGGATGAGAAGTCATGGTTCAGGGAAACAGAATTGTACAACACTGTGATGCTGAGGCATGAAAATATCTTAGGTAAGTACAAGGATAATCCCCTCGTTAATTGTAGCTAGATAGAAATACTTGCCTGCCTTTGCCCTCTCTGTTTTGGTGCCTGTGAATTTGAGAATCCCTCCCGAAAAGCAATATAGGGATTTATATACAGCATTTATATACAGTTTAATTTTCCTTTAACACCAATTTCTTGTTTAAATCTGCAAATAAGCTTTAAGATTCTCTGGATGATGAAAAGGAAATCCGTCACTGCTAATTCTTCTCCCTACATCTGCAGATCGTTATTTAAACAACAAAAATTTGCCCCATATTGTTCACTTCAAGGCTTCATTGGTTGTTCTACTTACCCCACCCTTTTTGAATATTTATTACTTGAATCAAACTAAGAAAGATCTTTGGACTATTTCCTAGAGATTCACAGCTCCCAGGGATATCGTAATTAAATGCACATTCCCTCAAACTAGGCATCATTTTTAAAGCCCAGATTTACAGAGGGATTCAGCATACATTTTAATTTGGAAGCTAAAGCTTAGCAACATTTGTGAAATATGTAAAGTGCCCGCCGCAGTACAGCTATGGCAGTATAAAGGGTGAGCGTACTCCGTGGGCCTATTGACTTCTATATTTTTGAAAAGTTTTTCTAAATGTGTTTATATTAATACATGTCTGAGGAAGGCTGCCTAGAGTGCTTCTTTAGTAGTGGATATAAGGTCTATATAGTTTTAACTCCGTATAAGACAGGGTTGGCCACTTTTTGGCTATTGGATTAGGTCTGGCTTATAGGAAGGCCATTGCTAGAATTTATTTCTATACCAGTGCTGCCAGTTTAGTATTTAAATCTGAGTTGAGTTGTCTGCAAATAATGGTGGTTTGACAGTCGTCCAAAGCTTTGCTTGAACGGTACGGTGGTAATGTTCCATCTTGGAATTGTTTGAGTTTCTGCTGTTGACTTCTCACTTTCCTTTCCCCTGTGGGCCTTAGCTATCACGCAACCCTCCTCACCTCTCTGTCAGCTCCCCCTTCCAATCCATCTCTCCATACCAAGTTGTCTTCTGCTGGGGACCAGAGATAATTCTGCTCAAGGTGTCTTTGATGGCTCCCAAGTTGCCTGCAACATTTGTGACTGGCATTCAAGACTCCATATTTTGGGGCTCCAGGAGTCTCTTAACCTTCACCTACAGATATGCCCACATTCAGCTACTATCAGTGTTTGCCACTCCTTGGGATCATCACAGACATTTAGGCCTCTGTGCCCATGTTCATGTGGCTCTCGAACTGTCCCTATTCCCTTCCCACCCTGCCACTCCCCCTTCCTCCATCACAACATCTCAGCCCTATTCCATTTCCCCCCAGTGGGACTGACTGTGCTTCTCTGCACTCCCTCACTTCGCACCGCTTCCGTAACTCTTGTCACATACCGCCTGCGTCTCACCTTGGTGTCTGTGTGTAACACAGCAATGACAGCAATGACAACAGCACAGTTGATAATGGACAGTACTAGGCAGTAACCACTGCTTTAAGTGCTTTCTGTGCATGTTCCCCTTTACTTTCCACCATCACCCTAAGAGGGTAGGTGCCCTTATATTCCCGGTTTTAACTGATGAGGTCACTGACACTCAGAGAGGTTAAATAGTGGAGGTGGGAATTGCACCAGGCAGTCTGACCCTCAGCCACAGTTCTGCACTCAAAACACAAACATCCCATAAAAGTGCCCTCGCCTTGTGAAGCAAACATAGGTACATTAATTCACACTTGAGAGAGAAACAGTGAAAACAAATCTTGCTTATTTAAAAGTCATTTTTTCCTAACGGTCGAGAGCATAATTAACAGGACAAAGATCCTTCTCCGAGACTTAGGTGGCTTAGAGAAGGCGAGAGAACAAAAATTTATTTTTTTATTATTTATTTATTTAATTGGAAGCTTCACTTCCTTTTGGGGGAGGAACTACACAAATATACAGCAGTAATTTAATTTATCTTGAATGGTGCTTTTATATTTGGGGGCATTTATTTTTGAGAAAATCATTTGGTTTAAATTGTTAAAGCAGGAATGTCTTCTTATTAAGAATAACTAATATACAAGTACACATTTTGCTTCCTATTATGGCAGCTAAGGGCTCCAGGAGAAGCAACTGTAGGGGGACAAAGACAGACTGGAGACCAGGGGAGGCGTGGGGCACTCAGGGCTGGCCATAGGAACTGGCTGAGAAGAAGAGAGAGAAAGAGGTAGGGGGAATAGGTGCTGCAGTGTTACTCAGTTCACTCTTCAGATGTCCCATAGGTGTGATGTCAAATTAGTTTTCTCTGAGTAGAAGTCAACTTGTTTGGAGTACTGTGGTAGATGGTAAGGGACTGGGTTCTAGAGCCAGACCTGCAGGGACCATAACTGACCTAAATGTCAATGATGTGATCTGCCTGTTTCATGTGGTCATTGGAGGATTGCATATAACGTGTCAGGCACATAGGTGGTACTCAGTAATAATTAGCTGCCTCTGTCATTGTGGTTGTCGATGATGATGATAAAACAGAGGACCTTTTTTGGCTCACGGAGCATTCCTGTGCAAGGTCTCAGAACAGCTGGCACTAAATTTGGAGTTGCTAGCAACTTAATAGCTGTGTGATCCTTGGCATCTCCCAGGAGCAACTTTATTATCTGTAAAATGAGTATAATGATGTCTTATCTTGCAGGCTTGTTGAGAAAAATCTCATGAGAAAATGTGAAAGTGACATAAATTTTATATAAAGCACTATGCAAGTGTGAGGCATTTTTATGTATTTTCTTTTACATTTTCACAAGTCATTTAATTCTTCCTCAAGCCATATCTGTCCTTTTTTTAAAAAAAATTTTCTTCTCGTTCTAAGCCCCAAACTTCACTGTCCATTGCATGGTTCACATATGTGGGAACATTGCTAGCAGGCACCTGGGTAACGGTGAAGGGAGGCACACATCATTTATCTCATAGCATAGGGAGTGCCTCTAACTTCTAGAGCTCTTCCATTCTGCTCAAAAGTTCTCTCCAAATGTCTAGAAAAATCACTTCCTACCTCTTTATCCGCATTTGTCAATGTTTTAACTTCTCTTCAGGACCAGTTTAGTTGTCACTTCCTGATGGAAGCCTATTATAACATCTAGTCTGAATTATGATGATTCCCTACTCTGGGCCCATGTTGCTCTTTGCAGATATATATTATAGTACTTTTCACATTTTATTGTAATTCTTGCCTTTTTCCATCTGTCTTCTTTTCTAGCCAACAAACACTATCATCTTGGTTTTTCTGAGTGACTGACAAAGAGCATCATGAATGCTCATTATATTTGATTGGTTCCTTTTTTTATTTGATGAATTAGTCAATCGTTTACCATAAACTCACCGGTTTTATTTTATATCTGAGCAGACATAGGCCAGGGAGTCTAATTGAGTTGACCTGTAATACACAGTAAGTCACAGGCAGTCAGGAGGAGAATCCAGGTATCTAGGTTTTGGGTTTGGTGTTCTCTTAGGATGATTGATGAATGATCTGTGCTGGAAATATCAACAGGATGAAGAATTTGGCACTTTCATTATGGGTGAGCACAAAGATATTGCTGTCTGAATCTTAATGCAATGTAAAATATTTTTTAAAAGGATTACTTAACAATGGAAATGAATATGAAATTTTTCTATTTATTAGCCGTGCCCATTTAAGAGATGAATACTGCTATTTTTCTCTGTTGATGCTTTCTGTAAACCTCTTCTTTTGACAGTGAACCAACTATTATAGGTGTTCAATTATTTTTTTTTATATAGGTGATGTTTACTGTATAGGTCACCATTTCTAAATACTATAAGGTATAGTATAGAATTTTTACATGTGTATTAATTTTGTTCTTGCTCTCTCCAGGTTTCATTGCTTCAGATATGACATCAAGACACTCCAGTACCCAGTTGTGGTTAATTACACACTATCATGAAATGGGATCGTTGTACGACTATCTTCAGCTTACTACTCTGGATACAGTTAGCTGCCTTCGAATAGTGCTGTCCATAGCTAGTGGTCTTGCACATTTGCACATAGAGATATTTGGGACCCAAGGGAAACCAGCCATTGCCCATCGAGATTTAAAGAGCAAAAATATCCTGGTTAAGAAGAATGGACAGTGCTGCATAGCAGATTTGGGTAAGTTTTGGGGAAAAAAAGTACTTTTTCATGACCAATTTTACTTCTTTTGTCCTCCAGTGTTCAGCTGAGTTGCATCTCTTTTTCCCTCCTAACATATTGTTAGGAAAAATTTCAAACATGCAGACAAGTTGAAAGAAGTTTACAATGAATAAAACTACACACCCACCAACTCAATTCTCCCATTAACATTTTACTAATGCAGCATTTTATATTTATTGTTTATCCATTTTTTCATCCCCCATCCACTCAGTCCATCTTAATCTTTGATACACTTCAAAGTAAATTGCAGGCCGGGCGCGGTGGCTCACGCCTGTAATCCTAGCTCTTGGGAGGCCAAGGCGGGCGGATTACTCAAGGTCAGGAGTTCAAAACCAGCCTGAGCAAGAGCAAGACCCCGTCTCTACTATAAATAGAAAGAAATTAATTGGCCAACTGATATATATATATAAAAAATTAGCCGGGCATGGTGGTGCATGCCTGTAGTCCCAGCTACTCGGGAGGCTGAGGCAGAAGGATCGCTCGAGCCCAGGAATTTGAGGTTGCTGTGAGCTAGGCTGACGCCACGGCACTCACTCTATCCTGGACAACAAAGGGAGACTCTGTCTCAAAAAAAACAAAAAAAAAAAAACAAAAAAACAAAGTAAATTGCAGACAGAAGAACCCTTCCTTCTAACAATTTCAGCATGCACATTACTATGTCATTAACTAGAGTGCATCATTTTTTTTAAGTAAAATTTACATACTGTGAAAAACACAAATCGTAAGCACATTCTCAGAGTTTTGACAAATGCTGTAAAACTCACATCCTTATCAAGGTACGGATTTTCCCATTACCCTAAAAAGTCACCTGAGGCCCATTCAGTAGGTGCCTGCCACACCATACCTCTGAGATAACCAGTATTTGTTGCATTCTGACTACACAAGCCTTCACAGGAAGTAGGTGCACAATTAGATATTCTATGGAATAAGTTTGTCTAAAAAGTGTTTTCTAAAACCATTCTGCTATCCCCAAGATAAAATTCTCAAATTGAGAAAAAGGAAAATAACTCCCAAACCGATTTACCCTTTGCCCTACTGGGATATCTCATTTTTACGGTGTTAGGGTAATGCTCAGTGTAGCTTTAATAGCATTATAAATAAGATTGTTTTTATTTATACTGGTATTTTATATAAAACCATCTTCATCCTAGACTCCTAGAATATTGGCTGAATAATTGTGCTAATGAGAACTGAATTGCAATAACCATATTCATTCCAGGGGACTATTGAGAGACCTTAAGCTACTTCACTAAAAAATGGTTTATATTATATTATCACAGTTATTGTCAGACTGATAAAGGCACAGATAAAAATAGCTTTAATTGTATAAATAATGAAGTTTATTTTTGTTTGGTTTTAAACACAATAGACTTGACATGTCAGGAAAATTTACTTTCTTTGAATCCCTTTAAAGTCTGCTTTTAGGTTGAGAAATTATTTTACAATGTTTCCTAAGTATAAGAAGAAAAAAATATTTAGGGTAAGCATTTAAAGAGCCTGGCCTTACAGTTTTTTGCAGGCAGTTTTAGTTGTCGTATAGAACTGTGGTCCCCAACCCGTGGGCCATGGACTGGTACCAGTCCCTGGCTTGTCAGGAACTGGGCCGCACAGCAGGAGGTGAGTAGCGGGTGAGAGAGGGAAGTTTCATCTGTATTTGCAGCTGCTCCCCATCACTGGCATCACCGCCTGAGCTCTGCTCCCTCCTGTCAGATCATTGGTGGCATTAGATTCTCATAGCAGTGTAAACTGCCCATGCGAGGGATCTAGGTTGCACGCTCCTTATGAGAATGTAAAGCCTGATGATCTGAGGTGGAGCCGAGGCGGTGATGCTAGTGCTGGGGAGCGGCTGCAAATACAGATTACCATTAGCAGAGAGGTTTGATAGCACAGAGACCATAATAAGTCAATTGTTGCAAACTCGCATCAAAATCCTATTGTGAGTGGCAAGTGACAATTAAGCTGCATCTGGTGGCAGGCTTTAAGTCAGAATCTGACACTTGTTTTACTCTGTGTGTGGCCCGCCCATTATTTTATTTACCACTTCTGTCCGTGCCGCTTTCCCACACTGCACACCTGTCTCAGTCACAGTTTTATAAGCCCATGAGCTAACCTTGCAAAAATGAGTAAAAAACAGACGTTGCTGGAGAGCTTCTTTGAAAAGGGAGAAAGACCTAAAGACAGCAGAAGACTCTAAGACTGCCAACAAAATGAAAGCTACATTTAAAAGAAAATACCAAGAGTCCTGGTTAAATTACAGGTTCTTTGCAACAGATGACTCACATTCTCCAAGCCTGCTTTCTATAATATATGGTGACCAGCTATCCAGGGAAACCATGAAACCTTCAAAACTGCTTCACCACATGGAGACCAGGCACCCTGCATTAAAAGACAAGCCTTTGAAGTTTCAAAAGAAAAAAAACGTGAACACAAAGAACAACGGAAATTATTGAAGGCCACCACTTAAAGAAATGGATTTGCATGGAGAGCATCATTCTTAGTGGCTAACTGCATTGCTAAAGCTCAGAAGTCCATTGCCATTGGTGAAGAGTTGATCCTGCCTTCTGCTAAGGACATTTGCTATGAATTTTTAGGAGAGGCTGCAGTTCAAAAGGTGGCACGTGTTCCTTTTTTAGCTACCACCATAACTAGGCGAATTGATGAAATAGAGAATATGGAGGCATAGTTTGTTAGAGAGGATTAATGAGTCACCGTGGTACTCAATCCAGGTTGACAGTCTACTGATATTGACGACAAGGCAACAATTCTTGTTTTTGTGCGATATATTTTTCAGGAGGATGTGCATGAGGATATGTTATGTGCACTTTTATTGCCAACCAACACCATAGTTGCAGAACTATGCAAGACTTTGAATGATTACATACCAGGAAAACTGAATTGGTCATTTTGTGTCGGTATATGCTTGGATGGAGTGGCTGCCATGACTGGACGGCTTTCTGGTTTCGCTACTCAGGTTAAGGAGGTTGCTTCTGAATGTGAGTCTACGCACTGTGTCATCCATAGAGAAATGCTGGCTAGCCAAATAATGTCACCTGAACTAAACAATGTTTTGCAGGATGTGATTAAAATTATCAACCACATTAAAGTACATGCCCTTAACTCAGTCTGTTCTTGCAGAGCACATACCTCTTCTCTTATGCACAGAAATAGTTACCAGAGCTCCTACTGAGATTTCTTTTAGAAAAGCAATTACCACTGGCAGCACATTTTGGTGACACAGGATGGGTCACAAAACTTGCTTACTTGTGTGACATATTCAACCTGTTCAACAAACTCAATCTGTCACTTCAGGGTAGAACGACAATTGTGTTCAAGTCGGCAGATAAAGTGGCTGCATTCAAAGCCAAACTGGAATTATGGGGGCGACGAGTGAACATTGGGATTTTTGACATGTTTTAAACATTAGCAGAGATTTTGAAAGAGACTGAGCCAGAATCTACTTTCTCACATCTGGCACATGATCACCTATCTCGGCTTTCAAAGGAGTTTGACCATTACATCCCAATCACAAAAGACCTCTGAACTGGGAAGGAATGGATCTGTGACCCATTTGCAAATAAGCCAGATGAATCAACTTCGTTTGTGCTAGAAGAGGATCAACTGCTTGAGATGGCAAGTGAAAGTAAAAGTATGTTTGAGACAACTTCAGATCTCCATACGTTCTAGATTCAAGTCAAGGCAGAATATCCCGGGATTGCCACAAAAGCACTGAAAAGCCTGCTTCCATTTCCAACATTCTATCTTTGTGAAGCAGGGTTTTGTGCAGTGATGGCAACCAGAACGAGATTACGGGGTAGACTGGATGTAAACAGCACACTTTGGGTGTCACCGTCTCCAATTGCCCCCAGATGGGACCGTCTAGTTGCAGGAAAACCAGCTCAGGGCTCCCACTGATTCTGTATCACAGTGAATTGTATAATTATTTCATTATATATTACAATTTAATAATAATAGAAATATATTTCTATTTATTCTATCTATATATTTATAGAAATATAAATTTCTATAAATATATATTTATAGAAATAAATATATTTCTATTATTCTATCTATAATAGAAATATATTTCTAGCACAATAAATCTAATATGCTAGAATCATCCAGAAATCATGTGTGTGTACCCCCACACCCAGCCCCTATTATCCCCCTGAACTCCCCAGTCCTTAGAAAAATTTTCTTGCATGAAACCAGTCCTTTGTGCCAAAAAGGTTGGGAACCACTGGTGTAGATGACTTTTATGGTTTATTCCATGGCTTTTAGAGCCAGGGTGATTTGAGTTTGAATTCTGTCTTTCCCAGTTATTCACCCTATATTTTTGTGCAAGTCTATTTACCTGTTCACATAGCTATTTACCTGGCCCAAGTGCTGACACTGCTTACACTCGGTGAGACGGACAGGGGGGCCTTAGCCAAGAGACTCCAGTGTTTGACGCCGAGCCCTGTATTTCTGCATTGTTTGAAACTTTCTTAACAGTGTGATCATATATTACTTGTGTAACTAAAAAGCAATTAAAACCACCTCACAGGACTCAGATAAAATTAAGAAGTTATTCTAAATGCCTAGAAAATAATGAGGATTCAAATGGTAGTTGCTGTTTTAATCCAGTGATCTGGGAAGGGTGGGCAAGTAGAGGCAGCTCTTGGCTTTGGTTTTTGGGACTTGGTGGGGAGGGAGTGTGGGGAGTTTTGCAGTAAGTCCAGCCAATTAATTCTTCAACTACATTGTGGCTTGCAGCCTTCTAATTAGGTACATAGGTTGGTGTAAAAATCTGTATTAGGGAATCATTATTCAGGGTATGATAGATACCATACTACAGAAAATAGCTTCTGTAAGACCATAATTTGTATATAATTTTTCACTTTATACCTAGTAATGAAGCATCTATCATTAGAAATAGTGTTCTATTATTAGTACTGCAAAAAGACCAGTATACTATTTATTTTTCAACTTTTTTTTTTTTTTTTTTTTGAGACAGAGTCTCGCTTTCTTGCCTAGGCTAGTGTGAGTGCCGTGGCGTCAGCCTAGCTCACAGCAACCTCAAACTCCTGGGCTCAAGCAATCCTACTGCCTCAGCCTCCCGAGTTGCTGGGACTACAGGCACGAGCCACCATGCCCGGCTAATTTTTTTATATATATATATTAGTTGGCCAATTGATTTCTTTCTATTTTATAGTAGAGACGGGGTCTCGCTCAGGCTGGTTTTGAACTCCTGACCTTGAGCAATCCGCCCGCCTCGGCCTCCCAGAGTGCTAGGATTACAAGCGTGAGCCACCGCGCCCGGCCATTTTTCAACTTTTTATTGTAACAATTCAAACATACAGAGAGTTGAAAGACCATTATAACGATCACTTAAATCCTCAACACCTAGATTCAAAAACAGTTGAAACTTTGCCATATTTACTTCATCTATATGTAGTTGTGTGTATGTTTTTGCTAGCACATCTGAAGATAAAGTGTTACAGAGATCACATTTTATTCCTCAATACTTAAAAATTTATGCCCTAAAAATACTTCAAAATGCATCTCCTGTATAATTTCAGTTTATAACACCTAAAAATTATTGGTAATTCTCTAGCATCATTTCATATTCATTTTTAGGTGTTTCCGGTTTTTTCAAACAAGAATTCAGTCAAGGCTCACATACTGCATTTGGTTGTTTTGTCTCTTTAATGTCATAATTATCTATTACTAGGAAACAAATTACTTGTCAAATTGAGCACTTTAAAACAATGCATATGTATTATCTCATATCATCCCTTGAAAGTCTAGAATCTTGGAATGGCTTAGCAGTGTGGTTCTGGTTCAGGGTCTCAGGGAAGATGCGGTAAGCTGTTGGTCAGGGTTGCAGTTATCTGAAGGCTTGACCGGGGCCAGAGGGTACAGTGCCATGAAGACATCCTCACATGGCTGGTGGCAGCAGGCCTCAGTTCCTTGCCCCGTGGATCTCTGCACAGGGCCATCTTCATAACATGGCGAGTGAGCGGAGAGAGAACAAACAGGAAGCCTTTCATACTTTTATAATGCCTTTATGACCTAATTGTGAAGACACACACTGCTACTTCTGCCATATTCTATTCGATACACTAAAAGGATGAGGAATTATGCTTCGTTCACCTCTTGAAGGAAGAAGCTTCAAAGAACTTTGGACATATTTTAAAGCTACCAGAGAAGTATCTCCATGTTCTGTTTCATGGAGATATTTTGATATTTTCAGATATTTTGACTCCTTGGTTCTGGAAATGGTGGAAGGGCATACAGTAGTCCCCCCTTATTCACAGGGGATATATGTTCCAATACTCCCAGCAGATGCTTGAAACCGCAGATAGTACTGGATTCTAAATATATTTATACTATATTTTTCCCTCTGAAAATTGACCAAGGGCTTGAAAAAAATATATATGTACTATATTTTTTCCTTTACATACATACAGGATAAAGTTTAATTTATAAAGTAGGCACAGTAAGAGATTAACAACAATAACAAATAATACAACAGAACCCTTATAACAATAATACGCTGTAATAAAAGTTATGTGTATGTGTTTGTGTGCATGTATACTCTCCTCTCTTTCTCTCCCCCTCCCTCAGAATATCTCATTATACTATACTCACCTATTTTCAGACTGCAGTTGACATGGGTAACTGAAACCCGGGATAATGGGGGACTGCTGTATATGATTTGGGAGACATTCACAGTGTCCATAAAATTCAGTCTTGGGGTTGTTGATGAAAACAGGGGGAGGAAGAACCTGGCTGCCTTAGCCGAATGCAGCTGCCAGTACCGTGCTAATTTTTAAGGATGAGATGATGTGTGCCAGCTCCCTGACATCATATGGAGTCATCATCTCACACAGTCAGAGCCACGGGGTGGGAGAAGCATTCTCTATAGATGGCTTGAGAGATCCCCAAGGGAGCTTAGGATTGCCAAGGTTTACAGGACCTGCTTGCTCCAATTTGGCACTTTTCATTACATTGAGTGTTACAGTAATCATTTTCAGTTGGCCTGCATGTGCATCAGTAAATAATTTCATCCTCAGATAAAGCATGCATGTATTTGTCTATTCCCACTGGCCAGTGAGGAAGGCCAGGTCTCCCTAATAGGCTAAGGGATTCTAAAATGAGGCACAGTTTAAGAAAGCATTTCAAAGCCGTTTAACCTGAGAATTGTGCTTTCAGTTGAGGTCCAGTTTAATGCTCTCTGTTCTCATGATTCTAGAGAAAGGCCTGTGGGTTTGGTCAGTGTTATTGCTCAGATAAGCAGCTCTTCCTTTAGGGATAAAACAGTGCTTATAGCAGTCTGCCCTTTATGTAGTGGTAAATTACTTCAAATGCTTTGTCTCACACTGTTCAGAATTTGTGTTTGGAGACTAGTGGGAGCAGTGGTGGAGTTTGAGAGATTAATTTGCTTCTTGTTAAGCCACTTTGAGGCTCACAGTTAACATGTGAGGCTGTTTTCCTGTGGACTTCAAACACTGGCCTCATGTTGGTTTAGTACATTGGTCTGCCATCTACCCAAAACTTTTTATCTCTTAGAGATTTGTATGTTAACCTAATAGCCTCAGAATATTTCTGGCACTGGTCCTTTTTCCTGTTCTCACTCCAGAAGTCATCAAAGGGCACTCCATGGATTATTATGCAACAATGACCATGGGTACCACAAGAGGGCGCTTTCGATTGGGGTTGGTTAAAAAAGCCTTCAGCAGCCCCTTATGAGAAAGGAAGTGAGCTGATTACCCTGTTATCTTTTTCCTTTTAGGCCTGGCAGTCATGCATTCCCAGAGCACCAACCAACTTGACGTGGGCAACAACCCCCGTGTGGGCACCAAGCGCTACATGGCCCCTGAAGTTCTAGATGAAACCATCCAGGTGGATTGTTTTGATTCTTACAAGAGGGTCGATATTTGGGCCTTCGGACTTGTTTTGTGGGAAGTGGCCAGGCGGATGGTGAGCAATGGTAGGTATCTGATCTAATATAATATTGTCTTTGTCCACGTTCTCTTGATCCTGATACTTTTAAAAGGGCAAAGGGGAATATTGAAGCCCACATTGTTCCTTGAATCATACTTGTCAAGTTATAGACATGTATATTTGACTTACAGCTGGTAGGTGGAGTATAATGGCTTTTATGTATGAAATACACAATAGCAACGATGGTTGAAAAATAGTATTTCTGGAAGAGAATAGCCATTCCTTGAATTTTTTTTTTTTTGAGGATTGGTCCATATTTCTTTTTTAATAATTTTTTATTGATATAATTGTACACATTTATGGGGTGCATGTGATATTTCGACATGTGTATACAATGTGTAGTGATCAAATCAAAGCATTTAGGGTACCCATCACCTCAAACATTTATCATTTCTTGGTGTTGGGAACATTTCAAATCTTCTAGCTATTTAGAATTATATAATATGTTGTTAACTGTATTCACCCTACTGTGCTATTGGACACTAGAGCTTATTCTATCTAACTGTATGTTTGTACCTATTAACCAATCTGTCTTCATCCCCCACTACCCTTCCCAGCCTCTGGTAACTATCATTCCACTCTCTGCTTCCATGAGATCAACTATTTTAGCTTCCACATATGAGTGAGAACAAGTGATATTTGTCTTTCTGCGCCTGGTTTATTTCACTTAACATAATGACCTCCAGTTCCATCCACATTGCTGCACATTCCTTATGGCTGAATAATATTCCATTGTGTATATACCACCTTTTCTTTATCCATTCATCTGTAGATGGTCACTTAGGTTGATTCTATATCTCGGTTATTGTGAATAGGGCTATGACACCATGGAGGTGCAGGTATCCCTTTGATGATGCACTGATTTCCTTTCCTTTGGATAAATACCCAGTAGTGGGATTGCTGGATGGCAAGGTAGTTCTATTTTTAGTTTTTTGAGAAACCTTCATACTGTTTCCCAGTATGGCTGTACCAATTTACATTCCCACTAATAGTGTATAAGAATTCCCTTTCCTTCACATCCTTGCCAGCATTTATTATTATTTATCTTTTTTATAATGGTCATTCTAATTGGGATAAGATGATATCTCATTGTGGTTTTGGTTTGTATTTCCCTGAGGATCAATGACATTGAGAATTTTTTTTTCATATATCTGTCACCGTTTGTATGTCTTTGAAAAATATGTATTCAGATCCTTTGCCTATCTTTTTAAATTACAATGTGGTATTAATAAATTCATTATTGCTACAACATGCTCCTTTCCCCTTTTAATATAAAGATTTTATATTCCTACCCAATGATAAGACTTTCAGTGTCTCTCGTGGGAGAAGCATATTACCCTGTCCCATTGACATTGAGCTTGGTCATGTGTTCTTTTTTGACCAATGGAAGGTGAGTACATGTGTCACAGCATTTTCTGAAGAAATCTTTCAGAATTATTGCATGGTTCTGCCATTATCTTTCATAGGAACAACATGTCCTAGATAGTTATTACTTCTCAGTCTGGATTCTGGAATAAAATTTCTTTGAGCAATGCTGGCATCTGTCCACAACCATGAATATCTATTATGAATGAGAAGTAAGTGGTTGTTGTTTTAAGCCACTGAGATTTTGAGTTGCTTGTTACCATAAATAGCAGAAACAAATGTGTAAACACTCATTGCATGGGTGTGACATGAGTAATTTCATATATCAGTAAAACTTTTGTTTAGGAAAAAAACTTTATACATCTTTTTTGATCTTTGCCCGCTTTGGATTGAAACTATTTGAGGTTTTTTGCTATTGAGTTGTTTGAGTTCCTTATATGTCCTCAATTAGCCTCTTGTCAGATGAATAGTTTGCAAATATTTTCTTGATTCTAAAGGTTGTCTTGTTAATGGTTATTGTTTTCTTTGCTATGTAGAATTTTTTTTCTGGAATATTATGGGGGTACAAATGTTTAGGTTATATACATTGCCTTTGTACCACCAGAGTTAGAGCTACAGGCATGCCCATCCCCCAGACAGTGTGCATCATACCCATTAGGTATGAATATGCCCCTCTCCTCCTCCCCTAGAAGTTTTTAGTTAATATAGTCCCATTTGTCTATTTTTATTTTTGTTGTTTGTGCTTTAGAAGTCTTAGCCATAGAATCTTTGCTTAGAACAATGTCCTGGAGTATTCACCCTGTGTTTTCTTCTAGTAGTTATATAGTTTCAGCTCTCATGTTTAAGTCTTTAATACATTTTGAGTTGATTTTTATATGCGGTAAGAGATAGGGTTCTAGTTTCATTCTTCTGCATATGGATATCCAATTTTCCCAGCATTATTTATTGAAGATGATGTCCCTTCCCCAATTTATATTCCTGGTGCCTTTATTGACAATCACTTGGCTGTGACTACATGGATTTATTTCTTGGGTTCTCTATTGTGATCCATTCGTGTAATGTGTGTGTCTGTTTTTATACCCATACCATGCTGCTTTGGTTACGATAGCTTTATAATATGTTTTGAAGTCAGGGATTGTTTTCTCTATTTCTCTAAAGAATGTTATTGGTATTTTGATAGGGATTGTGTTGAATCTATAGATTGCTTTGAGTAGTATGGTCATCTTAACAGTATTACTTCTTCCAATCCATGAGTATGAGATGTCTTTCCATTTGTTGGTATTCTCTAAAATTTCTTTCATCAGTGTTTTATAGTTTTACTTGTAGAGGTCTTTCACCTCCTTGGTTAAATTTATTCCTAGGTATATCATTATTATTATTTTTTGCAGCTATCCTAAATGGGATTGCTTTCTTGATTTTTTTCCAGCTAGTTTCTTACTGGTGTATAAGAACGCTACTGATTTTTGTATCTTGCAACTCTATTGAATTTTTTTTATCAGTTCTAAGAGTTTTTTTGGTGGAGTCCTTGGGATTTTCTAGGTAGAAGATTATGTCATCTGCAAAGAGGGAAATTTTGACTTCCTGTTTCCTAATTTGGATGCCTTTTATTTTTCTTGCTAGATTGCTCTGGGTAGGACTTGCAGTACTATGTTGAATAAGAGTGGTAAAAATGGGAATTCTTGTCTTGTTCCAATTCTTAGAGGAAAGGCTTTTAGCTTTTTCCCATTCAGGATAATGTTTATTGTTGGTTTGTCAAATGTGGCTTTCATTATGCTGAATTATGTACCTTACATGTCTAATTTGTTGAGAGTTTTTCTCATGAAGTGATGTTGAATTTTATCAAATGATTTTCTGTATCTATTGAGATGATTATGTTTTTTGTTTTTCATTCTGTTGATGGATATATCACATTTATTGATTTGCATATGTTGAACCATCTTTGCATCCTATGGGATAAATCTCACCTGAACATGGTGTATTATCTTTTTCATGTGTTGTTGGTTTTGATTTGCTAGTATTTTGTTAAGAATTTTTTCATCTATGTTCATCAGGGATATTGGCCTATAGTTTTCTTTTTTTGTTGTATCCTTGTCTGGTTTTGGTATCAGGGTAATTGCTGGCCCTGTAGAATGCATTAGGAAGAATTCCCTTCTCTTCAATGGTTTGGAAAGTTTGAGAAGAATTGGTGTTAATTCTTCTTTATTAGGTACAATTCGGCAGTAAAGCCATCTGGTCCTGGGCTTTTCTTTGTTGGAAGACTTTTTGTTAGTGATTCAATGCCATTACTTATTATTTGCCTTTACAAATTGTTTTTTGTTTCTTTCTGGTCCAGTTGTGGTAGGTCATGTGTGGTCAGGAATTTATCTATTTCCTCTAGGTTTTCCATTTGTTAAAGGATAATTGTTCATAATAGTCTCTGATGATCCTTTGTATTTTTGTGGTATCAGTTGTAATATCTTCTTTTTTGTTTCTGATTTTATTTACTTGGGTCTTTCTCTTTTTGTCTTGGTTAGTGTAGCTAGTTGTTTATTGATTTTTGTTTATCTTTTAAAAAATCCAACTTTTTCTTTTATTGATTCTTTTTTTTTGTGGGGGGGGTCTCCATTTCATTTAGTTGTGCTCTGATCTGTCTTACTTCTTTCTACTAATTTTGTATTTTGTTTGTTCTTGCTTTTCTAGTTCTTGTTTTTCTAGTGAGGTGCAACATGAGATTGTTTATTTGAAATCATTCTTATTTTTGATATAGGCATTTATTGCTATAAACTTCCATGTTATCATTGCTTTTGCAAATCCCATAGATTTTGGTATGTTGTGTTTCCATTTTCATATTTTCCTCTCAATTTCTTGATTGACCCAATGGTTGTTTAGGAGCATCTTATTTAATTTCCATGTATTTGCATAATTTCCAGAGTTCTTGTCATTGATTTCTAGTTTTATTTCATTGTGATTCAAGAAGATACTTGATTAGATTTTAATTTTTTTTCAGTTTGTTGAGACTTGTTTTGTGGCCTAACATATGGTCTGTCCTGGAGAATGTTCCATGTGCTGATGAGAATAATATGTATTTTGCAGCTGTTGGACAAAATGTTCTGTAAATGTTTGTTTGGTCCATTTGGTCTAAAGTACAATTTAAATTCAGTGTTTATTGATTTTCTTTCTAAATGATCTGTCCAATGCTGAGAATGGGGTGTTGAAATCCCCAGTGGTTATTATACTGGATTCTATCTCTCCCTTCAGATCAATAATATTTGCTTTATATATTGGGGTGTTCTAGTATTGAGTGCATATATATTTAGAATCATCATATCCTTTTGCTGACCTGATACCTTTATCATTTTACAGTTGACCCTTGAACAACATGAGTTTGATCTATGTGGGTCCATTTATGCATGGATATTTTTCACCCAAACATGGACTGAAAATACAGTCTTCATGGGATATTAAAACTGTATATATGGAGTGCCAACTTTTCATATATGGGTATATCTACCATCGTGGAAACACATGTGAGTTCATATACAGGTTTCACAGGGATGAGTGAGGGACTTGAGCATGCTTGTATTTTGGTATATACAGTGGATACTGGAACCAATCCCTGCATATACTGAGGAACCTCTGTAT